GGTTAGAATTTTTTTTGTGAAATAAATGTTATTTTGAAAATTTAAAATGTTAGTCAAAATTTTCAAGAGTTAGTAAAGATCATTCCATCAAGAGTTTTTATGCGATTTTCCAATATAAACAGAGATCACAATGTTATACATAAAGAAAATAAGATATATTTATTTGTTTATAATATTTTCATTGATTTGACCCAAATAAAAAAAATTCATTGATAGGTTTTGTCGATCATCGACTTGCTTCAGCAATCAAGTCTCTTCTTGCCTCTTAGGTTGAAAAATATTGGATTTGATTTAAGTCTTTTATATGATTTTCTTTTAAGTTTTTAACTAGGTGATTTTCCCGTGCTCATGCACGGACATGTATATTTATAAAATAAATATACAATAATAATTGATTGATATTTACTTTAATTTTAAAATTAATTTATAGTTTGTATGTCTAATTTATATTATAATAATATATTACTTTAATTATATATATAATTTTAGATATGTTACATTTAGTCTGTTTTATTGTTTTTACGGTCGATTTAGTTATCATTTAGATATATTGGATTCTATATATTTCTCTGAATTCAACTATAATCTTTTATATTTTAAATATATTAACTTTTTTATTAATTGTCTTATTTGCATTTATGCTAGTTGTTATCTTATAAATATAAGTATATTTAGTAAGATTATATATAACTTAAGATTATATATAACTTAAGATTTTTTTTGTGCTTAGAAGGAAAAAAAAATAAAAACTAAATTGTCTGATTCTAAATTACATACATAAGTAACTAATGAATTTTTCGAAGCTTTTGAACACATATCAATATTTACAATAATTAAATATTTTATAAATTCTAAATAAATTTATGCTTTATATTGATTGGATGGTAAACTGAAATTTATTTTAAATAATTTTAAAAATAAAGATTCTGATTTGCTTAAGTATTTTGACTATGGTTATATTAATTTTCACAAACATAAAAACAGAAAATTAAAAATCAAAAGATTTATTAACAAACAGATAATTTTAACTATTAAAATATAATATATCTACCTTGTTAAATTATATAGTGTTATGGTATTTTAAAATAATTGTAGTTATTTTCTTATGTTTGTGAAACTTAATATAACCATAATCAAAATACTTAAGTAAATCAGAATCCTTATTCTTAAAACAGATAATTTTAACTATTAAAATATAATATATCTACCTCATTAAATTATATAGTGATGATATTTTAAAATAATTGTAGTTACTTGATCAAAAGATGTTTATTATTAAATTTATTTTTAGTTTTATTTTTAGTATCTCTTAAAATAGTCAGTAAAAAGTGATTGTTTTTGAGAAATTATACTATATAAGTAAAATAGAATTTATATTTTTACTGTAATTGTAAGATATTATAGTCAAATAAATATACTAAAAAAATAATTTCAATAATACTAATTATAAAAAATGTCAATTAAACATATATCAGTTTATGTTAGTTGATTATTTTATGTAGTCATCTAATAAAATAGATAGATATATACAAAAATAATTATTTTGAAAATATATATATTTTATTGTTTAAAAATTGTTTTTAAGGAAAAAATATTTCTTTTTCTAATAGCAATATTTTTTTGTGTGAATTTTTTTTATGAAATCACATTATATACATGTATTTTTTTTATGTAAGAAGATATATATATATATAGTATTTATTACTTCAAAGGTATATTTTATGGTATTTAAAATATATTTAAATTAAATATTACTATTTTGTGAACTTTCTTTTTTTATTAAACCATATTTTATATACTTATTTTCGTTTTTAAATAGTTTTGTAAATTTTATAAATGTTTCCTTTTTATTTTGTATTGTTATTTGGAAATTTTTAAAAAAAAAGAAATAATATTTTATTTTATTTTTAATTCATTAGGGATATCATAGTAATCAACCAGCGTGAGAGTTAACGTGAGCATGACACCTAAGAAAGTGATTTCTCAAATAATATTATAGAGATATGATTACTTTCAAACCCTCGTTACTTAAAACAATAAACCGTTGAAGTTTGAATTCAAATTTATTTATTCACTATATGTTTGATTTTTCTTACCTTCAGTTCCATATTATTAATGTGCTAGACCTCCTATATATTATCCTACTGGTCGGCATTGGGCATGTTACAGGTTTGGAACCAAACTAACTATATACGATAATGAAGAAAACAACAAAAGCTTTTCTTCTTCTAAGTTTGCTTCACATACTCCTATGTCTATCCTCTCAGGTTCATGTCACAGAGGCTAAATTCCGTCACTTAGGTCAGTCTCTTCTTATTCCAAATATCTCTGGCGCATAAAAATATTTTTCAGTAACATAATATGATTCGTGTGTTAAAAGGTGAACGGACATGTGCAAAACCTTCCCCAACATGTGGAGATGGTCAGGGAAGCCATCCAGCTAATGAACAGCGAGATAAGCCCTGTAAACCCATTCCAAGACCACCTCCTCCTAGAGACTGCTAGCAACGTTGAAGACAAACTTATACCGTTAGGTTCGACCAAGATTTTCAACAGAAGCTTCTCCGATCCTTTTCATCTTTTCTTTAAAGAATCATGTTTACAAAGTAAAATAAACAAATAAATAAATAAGCTACTAGTGGTTATGATTTATATATTTTTTTATTTTTTTGTCAATAGAAACATAGGATACCATCATATAATTTTTTTTTCATTTAAACAATTTTGTTTACCTTGAAAATGGAATATATGTAAGGAGATTCAGGTTCTCAGCTGTTAATATTTCTGGGGTCATGATTCGTGAATGTTCACTTATTCAGTACTTATGTGTAGAATATAAGAAAGCATTCAAAGGGGTTGGATTTTTTCTGGGAGGAACATGAGGCTGATGTTGATTTAAGATTTATTCCAATGAAATATGTTTAGGTGGGGATACGTTGGAATTAAATGATCCTGATAGTGAAACAAACAAAAATCTTTTAGTTTCCAAACGTTTAATCAATTACAGATATAAAATATTTATATTCATGCAAACAAAATAATATTACATTATGATTGACATAAAAAAGAGGTCATAATTTGAAAGTACATACACACTATACGGAATTCATTTGTCTCTTTGATAACTCTCCAGCCCTCTCCAAGTATATGTTTGTAACCGAGAGAGCTCAGTAATAGTAAGCACACATTATAGTGATTAATTTGATATTGTCCATACTCTTTATATTTTGGTTAAGCACAAGCTAGACTATAGAGTAATATATGAAATGTGTTGTATCCATCTACAGAAAGCAAATACGTACCAGCATATAATATATGTGACTGTCTGATGTAGAAGTATAATTTATTGGGATGGAATACTATGTGTCGTGACTCGATAGGGGGATCGAGGAAAGGATATATTTAGTGCAGACGTTAACATTTAACCACACTTTGAAGTTTGATTGTATATGGTCTTCTAGCTTCGATATTTTCTATAGCAAAGTACGTACACGTTTGAAAACAAAACAAAATAGACATACCCGTGATGTGAAAAATATACAAATGAACATAAACAAAGATCACTATGTTATACACAAATAACTCTAAGTATTGTGATTAACAAAAGGGAAAATGTTTTCTTTATTTACTTACAAGCTTTGTTTCAGTGACAGGTTTTGTCGACATGTTTTAGCAGTCAAATAACCGGTCTAGTGACAGTCCAGGCATCTTGCCTCTTGGGTGGAAAAATATTGGATTTGATTTTAAGGTTTTATGATGTTCTTATAAGTTTTTAATATGATTATCTTTCCATAGCTGATGTACAAATCCGCGTTACGTAGAAAGTTTGAATTCCAAATTATTTATTACAAGTTTCTTATATGTTTGATTTTTCTTAGCTTCAGTTCCATATTATTAATCTGCTAGACTTCCTATATATTATTATCCTACTGGTCGGCATTGGGCATGTTACAGGTTTGGAACCAAACTAAGTATTTACGCTAATGAAGAAAACAACAAAAGTGTTTCTTCTTCTTCTAAGTTTGCTTCACATACTCCTATGTCTATCCTCTCAGGTTCGTGTCACAGAGGCTAGATTCCGTCACTTAGGTTAGTCTCTTCTTATTCCAAATATCTCTGCCGCATAAAAAGATTTTCAGTAACATAATATGACTCGTGTTTTAAAAGGTGGTCTGATATGCGCAAAACCTTCCCCAACATGTGGAGATGGTCAGGGAAGCCATCCAGCTAACGAACAGCGAGATAAGCCCTGTAAACCCATTCCAAGACCACCTCCTCCTATAGACTGCTAGCAACGTTGAAGATGAACTTATACCGTTAGGTTCGACCAAGATTTTCAACACAAGCTCCTCCTTTTCATCTTTTCTTTCAAAGAATCATGTTTACGATGTAACATAAACAAATAAATAAATAAGCTACTAGTGGTTATGTAGTTTTATATTTGATCAAACATTCATTCATACAAATAGAAAGCTAAATTCATGAACATGTGTGAAGTAGAATAGAATTTTTTTTTTTTTTTTTAAGTTTTCACCCATAGAAGGCGACTTTTTGTAACATTATGTCAACAAACATTTATTCTTATTGTGTAAAATAATCAACAATAAAACAATTTTTATCACCTATTGATGAATCACCAAGATATGTTTATTTGTTTAATCTTTGGTTCAATGATAGGTTTTGTCGATCATCGACATGTTTCGCAATCAAATCGCTGGCCTAGTGCACAACTCATCTTCCCTTAGGTTGAAAAATATTGAATTTGATTTTTAAGTTTTTTTATACGATTATCTTTACATAGCTTATGTACAAAAACGTGTTAACGTAGAAAAAAAAAGAAACCGTTGAAGTTTGAATTCAATTTTTTTTTTTTTAACTGAAATTTATTTATTCAATATATGCTTGATTTTCTTAACTCTTCCTATTATTTTTCTTCTTGACTTCATGTATATATCCTACTGGCATGTTATGTGTTCGGAATCAAACAAGTATATATGAAAATGAAGAAAACAACGAAAGCTTTTCCTCTTCTTCTTCTAAGTTTGCTTCATATACTTCTATGTGTATCCTCTCAGGCTCGTGTCACAGAGGCTAGAAGACTCCATAACACAGGTTAGTCTCTTCTTATTCCAAATATCTCTGCCGCATAAAAGATTTTTTAAGTATATTGACTCTTAAGTTAAAAGGTGTTCAGATAATCGCAAGACCTTCCCCACCTTGTGGAGGTGAATCAATGGGAGATGATCAAGTTTCAGGACACAAAGATAAGCCTTGTAAAACAATTCCACGACCTCCTACTCCTCCTAGGTGCTCTTAGCCTCCTTTCTTGTTCATATTTTCTTTCAAAGAATCATTTTCACATTGTAAAGTAAATAAACATATAGTAGTGCCAGGCTACGAGAGGCTCAAGTGTGACAGAGAATGAGATTTATAATACCATTTTGTCAATAAACATTTATTGTTATTGTGTAATATAAGTCAACAATAAAACCATTTCTAACACCTATTAAGAGAGGCAATTACTTATCCAGAGATGAGGTTTTAGAGGCGAGGATAGCGAGAGCGGCCTTTCTTCTTCAAGAACTCTGGGATCTCTATGGAACTGCCTTCACTGAAAGATGATGAAGGACGTCTTGTTGTTACTCCCATTGTTGCATCTGCTTGTGTCGCCTGCAATTTTCATATAAAATAGATTTGTAAGAATCAGACTATATTAAAAGAGACAAAGTGAATATACCTGAAGTGGCCTCCCTTCTCCTTCTTCTTGGCGTTTGAAGCCAGTTGCTATTAGGGTAATGCTTACTTGACCACTGAAAGATGGATCAACTACAGCGCCAAATATAAGATTTGCTGTTGGATCAACAAGGTCATAGATCACTTCCGCAGCTGCATTTACCTACAAACCATTATAAATTTCATGAACTGGAAGCAAACATAGGCTCTGCTTCATGAACTGAACCAAACCCATTTACCTCAAACAATGTTAAGTCAGTTCCACCAGTTATGTTCCAAACAATTCCAGTTGCTCTCTCAATGCCAATATCTAACAATGGTGACTGGATTGCGTTTAATGCAGCATCTCTTGCTCTAGTCTTTCCTGCTCATAATTAACAGTATAACATGATGAAGATGATGCAACCAGAACATAAGTTTAGACTCTTCTTTAATATATCACAATGCACACATAGTAGTAGAGTTACATGATAATAATTTTCAGTATAACAAACATTATTAGACTGGTTCCTTAGTCATGGTTACAGAGTACCAAATCTATAGTCCAATTAATCTACTCAATCTGTACTACCAATTCTCAGCAACACCTTAGCATTTTAGTTAACAAACATATGCATATAGCGTCTTAGATAAATCTAGTTTATCCACAAAAAGTCTAACCAATTATAAACAAAAAGTCTCAAATCCAAAGCACACTCTTCTCTTACCTGTTGCAGTTCCTATTCCCATCAATGAAGAACCTGCATTCGCCATAATAGCCCTCACGTCTGCAAAATCAACATTAACCAATCCAGGAATCTGCATTTAACAATACAACTGTTAAACTTTTCCTGTAGACTCCCATTAAGAGAACAAACACATTAACAAAACCCATTACCGTAATGATATCAGAGATTCCACGAACTCCTTGACGAAGTATATCATCTGCCAAATTAAACGCTTCTGTAACTGGAGTAGACATAGATACTGCAGTGAGCAACTTATCATTCGGAATAACAATGAGAGTATCAACATTATCCCTGAGTGCTGCAATCCCTTCCTGAGCTTGAACTGTTCTTCTCCTTCCCTCAAATGAGAAAGGCGTTGTCACAATACCAACCGTTAATATACCCATTGCCTTCGCCACACCTGCTATTATCGGCGCCCCACCCGTTCCAGTTCCACCTCCCATTCCAGCCTAGAAAACAATAACAATACTCAAGAAATATAGTTTCCAAAAAGATACACTTCTACATTTCGAATGCATTACTTAACCCGAAACGAAAAAACTGAACCGAAAAAACCGAAACCGTATCCAAACCGTTATACAAAAATATCCGAACGGGACTTAATACCATGTTGAACTATAAACTTAAAAAAAAAGGTGATGTTTATTGAAATTATATTAGTTAAAAGTTGTTTGATATAACTACTTATTTTTTGGCACTAATAATCAAAATTTAATATGTTTTTTTAATATGTATGAAAATTCTAAAACATTTTTTTAAAACAGAGGAAGAAGTGATAGAAGAAGACATACTGTGACAAAAACCATATCAGAACCATAAAGTGCCTCTTCAATAGCTTCTTTGCTTTCTCTAGCAGCATTCATACCAATCTCCGGATTACCTCCAGCACCTAACCCTCTAGTCAACTCCTTACCAATCTGCAACCTCTTGTCTGGAAAAACCGGAGACATCCTCATCGCCTGAATATCAGTATTCACAATCCAAAACTCCACACCAATCATCTCACTCTGTATCATGCGGTTCACAGCGTTTGAGCCACCACCTCCAACGCCTATAACTTTGATCCTCGCCTCGTTGAAGTTACTAGGAAGAGAAGAGTCGGTGAGATCCTCGGTGACTGGTCTGCTGGGAGATGATTCTTTTCTTGGGTTGAGCATTGATATCTCTGGGTGGAGGTTTAAGAAAGGGTCTTGTTGGCTTTGTAAATGGTTTGGTGTGTGAGTGTTTGGTTTGGGCCATGAGTCGGATCTTTGAGCTGAAACAAGAACACGGGTTCTTTTGGTTTGGACCATTCTAAAGGAACTAAACCTGTTGCCTTCAGGGGTTACACTCTTTCTAAGTAGAGTGAGGGCTCTTGAATCTGGAGGAGACAAACAGGGAGAGATACAAGTTGTCATTTTGAGACCACAGAACAACAAACCTGTTTAAGACAAGGAACAAAGAAGTCAACTTTCAATTCCTTAACTAAATTGCATACTGCATTCCATAGATTGATAATCAAAAACGCTATTTTTTAAACTAATCAAAAGCACAAGGAGTAAGCAATGCTTCAATTAGAGTCAATCAATTTTACAAATTTGAACAAATTAACGAAATTGAGGAGATGGGTTTTTGCAGAACTGTGTGAAGAAGACAAAAGGTAAGACCTTTCGATGGTAGATGAGGAAGAGAGCCTTGGAGTAGCAGCAAGTAGAAACAGAGGATTTTGAGCTACAGAGAAAGAAAATATGAGGAGGAAGAAACAAAGAGTTTTGGAGTTATCTGGGCTTGGAATCTCGTTCTCAATCACATACAAAAAGTGGAATGTGATCTTGATTTTGTTCTAATTACACTCTGTAATTTCATCTGTTTAAGTTCCGCAAATGAGGAAAACGTTGGTCGACGACGGCAAGGGGGTGAAGTAAAAAAATTTTTGAAGGTTTAAGAGATATATGGATCTTAAGGCCCATATGATCGAGATTTGGGGCCGTTTAAGACTAAACAAGTGGTGATACTTAAGGCCCATATGATCTTTTGTGTTAGGCGTAAGTTCGATTTCAAGTCAAATCAAGGTTCTGGTGAAAATTACAAGTCAATTTTGAGAACGTTTTCACAATTTTATGTTGTTGTTTCGTGTATTTTAAACTGGTAAGAACACACAATTCAACAAAGGTCAATGTAAAACACTTGTAGAATTATTTTCTTCTCATATACATAAGCAGAAATCGAAGTGTAAGCCCAATGAAAGGCCAAAACTCATCATTATATCATCTGATCAAATTAAGCAACTTAGCGATATAAAATCATCATTAACCTCATTCTCTTAACTGGAATTATCCAGTTAAGAGACGGTTCTTAACTTTTCTCAGATTTTAACTTAAAAATTAATAACAATTTCTTAAATAAGATATATAAAAACGTCTCTTAACCAAAAAAGTATAAAAAAAAAAACAAAAAAGAAAAAAATATCAAATCATGAATTGAAAATCCTGACTAAAAGACCAGGGTTAATCATACCCTAACAATTACATTTATACTTCCCAGCATGAAACCCAAACAACATAAAATACACTCTTATCTTTCTCCAGCTACTAAGGATAATAAGTTTGATGGCAAAACAACACTCATACTTTACCTAGAGAACAATGTGAAGACTCCAAGTCATCTATGCAGACTCTGCTTAAATTTCAGACTACAGCTAGCCTCATCTATGTTATCTCATCCTTGGTTGAGGAGATGATATTGTATTTATATAATAAGGTTTTTAAAGTTTTATTTTTGTTTTCGATTATCTCTTATCCTTTGTTTGAACATTTCAAGAATTTTTGTTTTATGTTATTTCTTTTTTGTTAACTTCTTTGCTAAGAAAAAAATGTGGTTTTACTTCTTTGCTGGAAATTCAAACATTGTAATTAGTATTTTCTTTTTTACCACTAGACCAACTCGACGTTTGTGTTTTTTTGTTATTTCACTTCGATGGTTGTAAACTTTACATCCATGTGTTGAGCGTAACTTTTTTTCACAGAATCATTTTCCAGTCTTCTGATATGTAATGTATTTTTCTTTTATGCTAGTTAAATATATTATGCCTAGTAAAATACTAAATACCAATCCAGGACTGTTCATTATATCCTGTTTTTCTCAATGATGCTATGCAAATTCCCGTCTGAAGAGTAACGTTAGAGAGTAACAAATGCAAAATATTATTGTATACGTTGAGGTTCAAAGATAATATACATCCTTATTCAAACCCTATGTCATATATTGTCCACGACTCCATTTAATATTTATGTCTGATAGATAAGAAGTGAGAAGAATAATGATTATAGAAATTGAAAACTGGAAGTTCATAATTAATTCTGACGTCAGACAATGATGCCTTGCATGGTCTTCCAAAGAGATTTGGGGTAATCATAAATCGGACATCTCTAAAATTAAGATTTCAAAGTTGACTTCGAGTTTGCCTTGTGCCCTTGTTGTATGATACAAAATGATGATTCATTTGGCCAATTATAACATGATGGTTCTTGGTCTCTATGTAAATTTTCATACACACACTTGAGTTCGATGCGACATCTTCCTTAATTATCCTGTTCTTCTTATCTAACACATTTTGATATGCAAGAACATTGTGGATGTGCTCGAAATTGTCTTTAATTTTATCAAAGTTTTAAACGTGGACATTCTTATGAAGAACTTATTATCAATATGAAACAACGTTTAAAAGGAATAATGAAAGATTTAACTAGTAAGTGACAATGCGAAGTGAAAAATGAAGTAATAAGTTAAATTAAATCCGATGAGTTGATCTTTAGGAAGTAGGAGTAGGAATACAAAAGTCAATGAGACCAGAACTCGAGTGGACATTTTCAAACAAAAATGAATAGTCGTTTGACTAATAATTTATGGTTTGATGACATCACTCAGAATCCGAATGAAAAGCTCCTTGTCACATCTCTCTTCCACAGAGCCGCTTGATTACATTGCTTTGTGTTTATTCGTAGTATTATTAAAAATAATAAAACTCTTATTAGTCTTTTGGGGGGGCAAAACACCTACTGTGATTTATCGAGCATATTACAATACTCTTACCATCGCTAGCGTATTGTCATGACCTATGTGAATTTTGTGAAAAAATAAATTTATACGAAATTTGTGAATTTTTGTAAAGATAAATGTGTATATAATATATAATTTCCTTTATCAATTTACCATCAAAATCTCTCCGGTTGTAACTGGTTTAGTACATTAAACCTTTAATTTTAATATAAGCATTATTGTTAAAAAAGGTAATTTGCCAATTTTTGTAAAACTAATGTATATATAATTTTTACAGAAAAATCTAACGAGTTAAGCTCGTTGAATTGTAATCAGTTTGGCCCTTGTAAAATAAATTTCTCCCTCCACCACTGATCGTAAATATGTTTATTTACATGTAGATATGTAATTAAATCAGTGGTTTGAGAAGCTATAGATCATCAGCAGTATTATCATAACTGGATTTTTATTAGTATTGTCGCTGAACATAAACGATTTACTTATAGAAATGTGAGGTATGTTATTGAAAATAACTTGTTTGAGTTGGGACCATACACTAAGTAAAATCTTCAGATGTCCTTGGTCTAATTACTAAATTTAATAATTAGGAGGTTAGATCATCTCAAATTCATTTTATATTTTCTTCATAAAAATTAATTCTAAAATGAAATTTATTTTTATTTAAAAAACCTCTATTATAAAAAAAAATAGAAATGAGTTGAAAATGCTATTATAAAATACCACATTCGTCATGTGACTTAAGATCTTTACTATAAGCGGTTTTTCCAAAAATCTCTAAACAATATTAAAAAGTTGTTAAAAAAACTTAACATATCAACATTATGTTTTTATCATTACTATATTTATTCTCATAATAAGAAGATGATATATCTTCAAAATTATATGGTATAATATCAAACTTAAATAACATAAATCAATTCATTTATATGGTTTTGAAGTTTTGTAAACATCAGGAAAATATGACAATAGCTCATATATATTTACGAATAAAAAGCAAATTAATAATATAGCTATAAATATCACAAATTTCAGATCAACTTGAGATTTTAAAAAACATTTTGTAAAAATTAATTATTAATGTGTTCTTAAAATTTTAAACTAAAACTGAGGATGAAATGTTATAATTTCATAGATTATTAAATGCTTGGATTTTACTCTCTTTTTTTAAAATCTTGGATTTTATTTGAATTCATTAATTAGTGTAAAGAAAATCTAATTAAGTAACCAAATATAACGAAATGTCAAATGAGTTCTGTCCAAAGATTTTTAGTTATGATAAATTACCATGTACAAAATGGTTAAGTATTTTGTTTGAGCGTATTTCATAGTTAGTTAGGGTTTTGCATCTCTATTGACACTTAAGGATTTACATCTAAATGATTTGCATCTTAAATCCTGTACAAACGAAAATCTGTCCCCTTAAATGGATAGATATAGACTTTACAAGATACTTGATAAGTAGAGCAGAGTTACCATGTCAGTGCAAGAATCAACCATGTCCTAAACCCCAAATCCCACACAAGAAAGCAAAGATCTTTAGTTAACATAGAAAACATAAACAAACGTACAATGAGTGAGAAGACTAACATAGAGACATTGTCTTCTTGTAATAAAACAGAATCTTCTTTTCAAAACAAACCACTGGATACTACTACTATCTTCCCTACATTACACCAAACAACAACAACAACAAATCCTTCGGGTTGAGTTTTTTCTTCTACCAGTGCCAGATCTTTGCTTCTTCATTTCCGGTTCAGGATTGTCCAGAAGCAGAGCTTGATGGACAGATATTGTTGTCATTGTTTGATCCATTAGGGTTCTTCTTAGTTTTGGAGAGTTTCTGTTTGAGTTGAAACAAAAGCTGTTGATTCTCTTGATTCAGAAGTTCGGCTTTCTTTCTCAGCCTCTCGTTCTCTTTCATTATGTAACAATTCTCCACATACAGCTTCGAGTTTAGCCTCTCCATCGCTTGATTTGTTTCTTTCTACAAGAACAAAAAGAAAGTTATTGATTGTCAAGAATAAAATACAAAAGAAAGTAAATAGTAAGAAACATCAAAGCTAGCTTGTGTTATGATTATTGTTCATATTAAATCATTACATCACACATGGGTTGTGCAGCTTCACACGTCGGATGTGAATTACACTAGGGAAGATTTTTTGTCGCATTTATTTCGTTTTCTCGTCCGAGAGAAGAACATGATTATAGTTTGTATGGAGAATAAAGAGATAAAGCTAAGAAAAATGAAAGTAGGGAGATAAAAACAAGTAATCATGATGAAATGCAGTAATTATAAATGTCTTAACGTCTATGCTTTTATTTGTATCGACAAAAACTAATGATTATTCTTGAAACGCAACAAGCGAGAAAAAAACAGAGCAAGCAACCAAACAAAGATCGCCATCGTAAAAATACAAATTATAAAAGAAATCCAAAGTGTTTTGTATCGTCAAAAAGAGAAGAAAAAACAATTTTGTTAAAGAGAGAAAGAATTCTAATATATATAGATAATATGTTTTTTTTTAAATTAAAAAACTTCCCAAAGTTTAAAAAAAGAAAGAAAAAACAATAACAGATATGTCTTCATGTAGCTTGCCTGTACGTGTAACATTACTACATAGTTTCTTGACTTACCTTATATGCCCGCAAAAAGAATAGAAACAGTCACAGAGCAAGAAACGATAAACAGAACAACGAAGCAGAAAGAGAGTAGACACACAGCGAAAAGGAAACAGAGAGCATATAGACAAGAACCCATTTTGTGGTACTATCATTTGTTGGTAAATCTTCTAGAAGATACTAAAAGAGAGATAGAAGAAATGTTATACCTGTGGGAAGGAGTGTTGAGAGGCAGAGGTAGACGAAGAGAGAGAGATGCTACTATTTGTGTGTGGGAAGGTAGAGGGACAAAGAGAACAAAGGGAGACACTGTCTCTTATATAAACCCCCAAAAGCTAGAGGGAGAGAAGGTTCTTTATCTCTCTATCCTGACACAAACAATCATCATTGTATTGTATTTATGCATAGATGGCGGCCGTGAGAAGAGAGAGAGTTGTGTGCCTATTGCGTCATGTGAATGATGACTATTTATTAAAGAGCAAAAAGTAAAGAGTGAGGTTTCTTGGTTTGCTTGCTCTTCTTTCGAAATTGATCTCCAGGGGTACTTTCGAAAGATCCTTCCTCAAAGCATTCGCGGCTCTTCATCGTATCAATCCTCCATAAGTAAAAAATTCGTTAGAAGAGAGCTAGTCACATATGTAATTTTGTAACATGGGTGAAGTGGTCAAGGAAGGGTAGTTTCGTCATTTATATAAGAATGAAAGAACTAGCTATATATGTAGTAGAAGGCCATCGACCTCTATAAAGATTCGCAATGATGGTAAAAGAAGCTCGAACCATCATCCTTCATGATTTATTTTCAACCATTTTGGACCATTTTTAAATGCTCTCTTTCTTCTTCTTTTTCCCGGTTTGCTCAATATTGGTCTACTCAATATTACACTCCACCATAATTCAAAGTTTTGTTATTTTTGGCGGAATACAAATGATTTAGTACATCTTTTAAAAAAAGATTTAGGAACTTTTCATTACCACAGAATTTGTGGTTTAATTTTTTTTAAAAAGGATTTTGGAAAATAGACATAAAGAGCAGTAATTCTGAGAACTATATATATATATATATATATATATTTAATTATATCTAATAGAGATTTGTAATGTAAACATCACAAATGTTTGTTAATAAATTCAGAATGTCTTCTTCCAACATGCACAATTGCACATGCACAAAATCTTTTTCTTACTTATCTAATTATTTTGATTTGTCCTTGATTGTTTCAGCATTCCTTATTATGACGGGAGCAAAAAAAATGAAGACGAAGCAAGAATGTCTGGATTTGGAGCTCCAAAACCTACAAAATAATCATGGCTCATGTGTAAAACATCATATAAACAGTCTTAGATGTCTGTGTAGTATTTTTCTGTAAATTCGCATGTACATGTTAGATATCTAGAACTCGTTTGTCTGCTCATGATTTTAAGGAGTTTCATATATTCGTGGCTTGAGATGGTGTTTATATGCCCTTTATTGGTTTCTTCTCTCCACAAGGCTAAAATCCAAGTTTTAAAATTCTGTTTGACTATCGGTATTATCAACTAATAACTTTATAAGATATTCAGTTCTCAGGCGATTTTACAAAACCAGTTTTCCCTAAATCAAATTAAAGTTTCAAAAGACTCGATTATAACGACTAGAATAACCGAAATGGTTTGGGGTGGATAGTTTAAAAAATCTATGAATCATTAGACTGTATATAGTACTTCTTTACCAATCAATTCTGGAATATCTTAGCAATTCAAATATTCGGTATCTGATTACACCAATATAACTATTATGTGGACGTGTATGATTGAAAATATATGAGATTATAATTCGAAGAACTTGTATCTCTTTTGTATAATTTTCTTTACTTGCTCCTTCTCTTTTGTTAATAATATAACCTTTTGTCTTCTTAACTTTAACTATACTATGCATGTCTCCTCAATAAGATTTAAAGTGGGTTGATACTAGACTGCATTCAAACAATATTATAGCTGGTCTTACCTTTAATTTAAACATTACAACATATTTTATGGAGACGATCTTGAACAAAGGACTACATTTTGATATTGTTGTCAATACTCAAACTACGAATTTTCGATTTCTTTGATTCCACATGGACAATTAGCATATATAATGAATGATGAGGGCACATATTATTTAAAACACACGAACGGAGACGGCTTAAATCCGACAAGATGAATCGGCTGAGAGGCTGGTTAGCCAAACCGAATCCTTTTCTACCGACACATCATCGTCGTTCCTCTTCCATTTCCATTGTGCATGAGTTGCATTCATCACCGCCAGTTCACCATGTCCGAAACTTGCTTCTCTAAACAATGATATCGCTGGACTTGGATCTCGGTAGCTGTAAATATATGAGTTATAAACATCATCAAAATCTTATATTGTCACTAATGTATAACGTTACGAATCTCTTCTTACTTTTTAGCAAGGCCTTCTTTATTTCCCCCATCTCCAATGTTAATATAAACCGGACCACATTTGTCGAACTTATCTTGGTACACCCGGTTCTGTCAACAACAAAAGTTAGCTATAAAATCCAAAATAAATAATAAAAAAACCTTTCAAACTTACAAAGCGCTCGTAAGCATGGACGTGACCGGAGAAAACCAAATCGACACGAGCGTTATAAAGAAGAGTTTCCATGGATTCTTTCATATCCACACTCTCTTTCTCTCCTTGATGGGCTTCGTTTGTGTTGTACCACGGTGCGTGTATCACAGCCATCAGCCACGGTGTGGTCTTACGATCTATGCTTTTGAGATCTTTTTCTAACCATTGGTACTGTTCCGAGCCAGGCTCGAAATCTGTGTATGACCCCAACATTATAACGTGGACTCCCACAACGTTGAAGGAATAGTACAAGTTCGAGGTCGAGCCACTCTCTTCAAATGGCATGCGCCACCTGCCACAAGTACATAAAAATTATCTACAACTTACATAACAATATACAAAATCTTCATTTCTTACTAGCTAAATTTAAGACCACATAAATTTTTATTTTCTTAATATATGCCTGATTTTCGTTTTGATCAAATAAACTTCACATGACAACTCTGTTTTTTTTTAGCAAAAGTTAACACTTTCTATTTATTTTCCATGCTATCATGAAAACTAGAAGTAATTTTTATTCAACATTTTACCAAAAAAATTGGATATAGTTGGATTAAAAGAGTATAAGTACCTATTGTTATAGGCGGTAAAACCTTTACGGTGGAGGACAGGAAGCTGTTCGACTTCGTGGTTGCCTTGAGTGACCATCCATGGTCTTTTGCTCGCAAGTGGTTGCACCATGCGACCGAAAGTGTCCCACACGGGTTGCCAAAAGTCAGCGTACGACAAATCTCCAGGTATGATAAAAACATCATGTTCCCATTTCGATACATGGTCCAATGTTGATTTACTCCATTCAGTTGTGCCTATGTCACCTTCATTTTTCAAGATCATAAACAAAAATAACGAATTAAGCAACAAAACTATAATTGCGTATATTTTTATATTTGATAAAATTTATGAGGAAAAAAAATGGAAGTGTAGTACCAGCGACAGCGAAGTTGATGGGGAACTGAGAAGGAGGGGTCTTGAAGTTAAACTCTTGGGTTGAAGATGGACCACCACATTTGTAATAATACACTGTATTGGGTTTTAACGGGCCTATAACCACATTGTTAATCTGGCCCGATCGATAAACCATCAGGTAGTGGTAAGAGGACGATGTTCCGTTAGCCGAGCCATCGTATTTTCCAGAGGTTGTGCCGTATACAACGGTCGGCATGGCTGTGTGTTTAGTTATCCATGATATTCTCATTTTGTCTGGCCCAACCAGAGATATATGCACCTTGCAATTTATTATTTATATATTTTAAAATCAGCAACACATATTCAACACTTAGAAAAGGGAAAAAATTACACAAAAGTTAAAATAAAATAATAATAAAAATAAGGGAAGTACAAACTACAAAGCGTACAAGCAAAACCGATGAGGGATGAAAGATAAAGTCGGTGAATTTGCTATGCCTTCATCAGACACGTGGTAGCGTTGGCACTCGCGTGCCCTTCGGATACTATATTACTATTTGCATGTTAACTATTTGTTGACTTCTGTTGAAATAATTTTTTTTATGAGATCAAAGGGGATTCTAGTTACACATTCGTAATCTAGCGAGCAGAGACTGTTTTATTGACGCAGTTATATTTCACCGTATGTTTAGAATTTATGTTAATAGTATAGGTAACTAATGTAAGGTTTTTTTGTCAAGACAAGCATTTGTTTTTTGTTTGAAAATGTCAACAAAATGTCTCCATTCATAGTTTCGTAAATAATAAATGCACAACGTACAGTGTCGGTTCCAACAACATATGTATGAACAGTATATTAGCAATTATGAACCCTAATTACGCAATGCATCGTTTGCAAATACTAACTCGCTAAAAGGATCTGCTTATGTTTGAAAACTAATACAGATCCGCTTATGTCAATAGTAGACGTATAACGATTTACATGAAGAATACAAATTACATATATATAGGTATCGATATAGAGGTTAATGTAAATTACCTGTTCTGTGGACATAGGATCGTCGTTGGACGAATGCATCACTATATTTTTCTTAGTGCCCGGCCGATCATAGGACGACACATTTGGGACCAAAACAATAAGCAGTATAGCCACTAAATCCCAAATCTTCACCATTCTGGGTTTTGGCGACAGAGAAAGAAAAGAAGAGAGAAAGCGATGCAGAGAGATATGTAAAGGGTTTGTCAAGAACAAGATACAAGGGACACGGTGATTTATAGTAAACTTTTATTTCTAGCGTTGTTGTTGTTATATATGGGGAGATGTATTTGACAAAAAAGGAAGAGTATAACAAAGCATATATGGATTTGAAAACGGATGGGCATTAATTAGTTAGATGACTGTATTCTAATCATCTTGTTTAAAAATGTCTCTTTTCTCTAATAAGGGTAAATAAATTGGGCTTATATTTTTTGAAAATAAAAAAGATGTCACGCATGTTATAAAATTTTTAAAAGTTACATATTATATTTCACGTAGAATCTTTAACTTAAGATTTGGCTATCTACATGCAAAAGTATTATATATATGCATATATCTATTACCAATTATTTAAATTTAACACCAATTATATAAATAACATAATACATATAATATTAAATATAATTACTTACTTGGAAACAACATCTTGGGGATATTTAGTCAGTTTCTATAAGAATGTTACTAAATCATATGCATTATAAGAGGAATAGAATATATCTGGATCAAAACAAATCTCTTGACATTCAATGGTTTCCTTTAACTAATCCATCATAGTTATGTGTAGCTGAAAATTTATGTAAACCATGAGTAAGAGCATGATCATAGGAGTTTTTTTTTTTAACACTGGAATTATAGGAGTTTCTTGTGGGGTTTTTATTGTATAGGTCTCATGCACAGTATAAGAATCAGTTACAAAAACTATGAATTAAGAACTAGTTTTTATGGGTTTTTTATACTATTCGCAGACCCCACTGACACGTGACGGCCCACGATTGATTCGCTTTAAAAAAAAAAAAATAGACAAACAAAAATTAAGAAGCCCAAGTGAATTTTTGTGCATAATTATGCTCTAAGAGTCTAAAACACTTTAAAATCAGAGAAATTGTAAAAAATGTTAGTTTAATCTATTCTTTGACTTAGAATCTAGTGCTACAGAAAGATTTTATAAATCTTTTATAAATATTTTTAAATAATATAACATTGAAATTCTTACTTAACATTAAACTTTGAAAACACCAAATTTTATGTTACTAATTATCCATTATATAATTTTTGTTTTATTATATGTAAAATTAATATTGCAAGAAAATAATTGTTCATTAAATAGTTTTACAAGTTTTTTTTTGTTAAAGGGTTTTCATTATTAAATAATAGGTAATACAAAGAGCAAGCAAGCGCCTCAGTTCCAAAATATAAAATTACAGGAAGGATCAGAGAACTGATAGACTAAGCTATAAAAATGTATATAATCACCAGTTTTACAAGTTATATAGTTGCTATAAACATATAGCCAGCAACCACCACAGTTTTACTAGTTATAGTTGTTGTTTTTTAAAAGCAAATGCAGTTTTATTCTGGGATTTTTGGATTTTTTCTAATTACACATATTATCAGTTTTTTTTTTTGGAAAAATTAAGTTTCTATTTAAAATATGTGAGAAATAAAATTGCCTATATGCTTGTTTCTTAATTTTTTTTTTCAAATGCAAGTCCAACATATATTAGAATATAGATTAATCATAACTGAATAAGACCCAATAAATAAACTTATTCTTGGGTTCACCCCCTAGGGTGAACCTCTAGGTTCACTATCCAATATGATTGCATTATTTCATATTTATATTCTTTTAAAAAGGAAACAAAATCTTATGAATTTATATTATATTTTTAAAAATAAAAATACAAAAATAAAGAAAAATAATAATAATTAATAAAAACGAAAATAATTCTTTAAAAACAAATATTTTACCACTAAACCCTAAACTATAATCCTAAACCCTAAACCCTTTGGTAAATCATAAACCTTTGGATAATTTTTATAAAATAATTCCTTAAAAAAAATATTTTAACACTAAAACACTAAATCCTAAACTTTAATCATAAACCCTAAACCCTTTGGTAAATCATAAACACTAAAACCTAAACTCTAATCCTAAACCCTAAACCCTTGGATAAATCATAAACCTTTGGATAAATCTTATAGTGTTTTAAAAATTTAGTGTTTATGATTTACCCAAGGGTGTAGGGTTTAGGATTAGAGTTTAGGGTTTAGTGTTTATGATTTACCAAAGGGTTTAGGGTTTATGATTAAAGTTTAGGCTTTAGTGTTTTAGTGTTAAAATATTTTTTTAAGGATTTTTTTATGAAAATTATCCAAAGGTTTATGATTTACCCAAGGGTTTAGGGTTTCGGATTATAGTTTAGGGTTTAGTGTTAAAATATATTTTTTAAGGATTTTTTATGAAAATTATCCAAAGGTTTATGATTTACCCAAGGGTTTGGGGTTTCGGATTATAGTTTAGGGTTTAGTGTTAAAATATATTTTTTTAAATATTTTTCGTTTTTATTAATTATTATTATTATTTATTTATTTATATATTTAAAAACATAATATAACTTAATAAGATTTTGTTTCTTTTTTAAAAAGATATTAAATATGAAATAATGTAATCTTATTAGATGGTGAATGAAGGTTCCCCTAAGGGGGTGAACCCAAGAATAACTCCAATAAATATAGGAAATTTTGTAAATATGACTCAAAATAAAAAGTAAAATGTAAAAATAATCCATGATTTTTTTTAAAATTTCTATTTGCTCTATTCATCCCAGAATTTTGACTTATTTACGAAAATGTCATTTTTTCTTCGAAATTGATTCTTTTACTCAATCATCTTCATCTTCTTTTATTTACAATATTGCCGTTATCATCAGTACACCAACCACTAAATATACCTAAAATCAACATCTACATCTTCATATTCATATTTCTTACATACATAAACCATTCTCATTCTTTTTCTCTCTTATTTCATCTCAAAAAATATTTTTTTTATTTCAAAATTTATAAGCTTATTAAAGTTACCCAAGTTCATGATACTTGGTCAAAAATGAGTGATAACTTTGGTCAAGAATGAATGATATTTTATTAAGATGTTATTTATGCATAGAGAAACTAAACATGAACCTAATGGGATCTAAGAATGATTTTTTTTATATATATGTTTCGCGAAGAAGACTTCTGGTTAATGCATATGTTAGTTTTGCAATTCACATTCTGTATATTTTTTAAGAGAGAATTCTTCCAACTTTTATTTGTTAACAAACAAAAATGAGTAGACTTCTCTGAAAGTCTTCTCAGCTAAACAAGTTAGTTTTCAAATTGATCGAATTATGTCAAAAATTTGACTTTCTATAAAAGACCTCCCTTCCAGAGAAGTCTTCTCAACTGTTACATAAAGTCTGCTCATTGTCAGTGGAAGTTTGCGTAAGTTAATTTTGCAATTAATAATTAAAACTAAAACGTTTAATTTTAATTAAAATACTCTAGGAAAGTAAGTCTTCTCGATTTTATTCCAGGATTCTGGTCAAACCTTTGGTTATTGAAGGAAACTTCCACGAAAGACTTCCACATAAGTATTCTCTGAAAAAGTCAAATATGATCAATTTCAAAGGTAACCTACACAGACTTCCACCAATTGTGAGTAAAATTAATGTAACAATTGAGAAGACTTTCCAGGATGTCTTCGGTCAGAAGACTTTCCAGGATGTCTTCGGTCAGAAGACTTTCTCACAGAAGTTTTATGTAGAAAGTCAAATTTCTGACAAAATTTGGTCAATTGCAAAATTAACTTATTTATCCAAGAAAAAATCTAGAGAAATCTTCTGTGAGATTTTCAAGAACTTTTTGAAATACAAAAGTAAGTCAATATTTATAAAGGATGAGTTTCAAAGAAGCATGCTCTCTTCAGGGAAGTCTTTTGTAGATAATCAAATTTATGACACAATTTGATCAATTGCAAAAGTAAGATACTTGTCCGAACAGATTTCTTTGGAAGCTTCATTCATAAATTTGTAATTGCAAAACTAACCTAAATGAAGGACTTCCGTGTAAGTATTATACGTCAATGCTTAATAAACTTTTATTTTTTCTAAATTTAAAATGTTTTTCAATATTTCTTGTTAATTCATGTATATTAGTCAATATTGGAGCTCCTAGATGAAATTCATAACTTAATTGGTGATAGTTATGAGGTTACAAACAATCATGTTTATTAATGTTTCAAGTTAATGAGAGAATACTAAAGAAATCTTCTTGCTGAAGACTTACACATAAGTCTTCTACGTTCGTTTTTGTAAAAAAAAAATTTTTTTGACAGTGTTAAATAATTTTAAAATATACTTTTAACTTTCAAAAGTGTTAATTAACTTCAAAAATGACAAGTCACGTGGTTTAATTTGTATTCTTAGATCATATGATATAATTTTTAACTTTCATAAAGATTAAAATTTCAATTTTCAGATAAAATTTAAGTTTCATGCTTAAGTTTTCTTCAAAATTCTTCTCCATTAGTTTTAATATCGTGGTCAATTTTTTTTTTTTTTTGCTATTTTGTATCAATAACTTCAATAATATCAAGTATTTTTGGAAAAAAAAAAAAAATATATATATATATATATATATATATATATATATAATGTTTACATGAACATATTTAACAAATTATTTTCATAAACATCTCTTCAAATTTACAAAAGAATTCACAACTAAAAAAGTACATATAACAAGAATAAAATAGACCATAAACAAAATTATGACACATGGAGCTTGAAATCATTCATCTATATAGATAAACTTAAACTTCACTTAGGTTAGATATTTATAGTTCGGAAGACTTCCTAGAAATCTTCTGAGAAGTCTTCCAGAGTCTGGTTCATATTTGAAAAAATCTGCATATCCAAAAACGTTCAAATTGCATCAAAACAAAGAAAAAAATTTGAAAAATAATTTTTTATGCTTAAATTACAGGTAAAACAATCACACTATTTTGAATCCACAAATTTTTAGAATCTAACATATAAACACACACAAAATACATATCCAAAAATTTTAGATCTACCTTTAAAGTAGTGATGAAA